CAAAGGAAAAAGGCCCTGCAGCACATCATTGAATGCCTTGCTGTTTGAGTACATGGAGGCAAGCATATATAAAGAAGCAAATTCACAATCACCAATACATCACATCGCATTTTATATATAGTCTACTGAAGAGTGACAAATTAATGTGTCTTATTTCTGGAGTAATGATAATTGTGTGAAAGGTAGAACTGATGAAAATAAAAGATATGGTATTATTAAAGCATCTTAAGTAAATACACCATTATCAAAGTTAAGATAAGTGATTTTCAGCTGCTGTGGTATTCATGGGATGAACTGGTAATTTGTATGCTATGGAAAAGGTGTCTCCAAGTAGTCATATGTAACCACAAGAACTGGAATGTAAAGAGGACAAAAATAAATTGATAGCTGTCCTGTAGGAACAATGCTATCTATATTGATTGACAGGCTTTCATCACTGCTCCTTGTCTTGAACAAAACCAGAGCTCACATTGTGCATAGTAATCCTAGCACTAATTCCAAATCCTATGCATTTCAGATAGAACATAAAGTTTGTTTTTTTTAAAGTAGGTGTTATGAAATGAGGCTCCAAATGGCTGTTGAAAGTTCAGGCTGTTTAGGGGATTTGTTATAAACACTGTAAATCTCTGGGGAGGGATTAGTAAAATATAGGTATACACCTTTCAAATGATTACACCTGTGGAAAAGGCAAAAATAAAATAATGTAGCTAGAAAAATATGTTTTAAATGCTCTCTGTACAATTTTCTAATTATTTCTCCCGAAGTTAAAACACTGCAGATATTAGCTGTTTAGATAAGAACATCGATGATGTTGGGAAAATGGCATTTCCAGCATTCTGCCTTGGAAATTAACAGGAGTTCTGACAACTCTACTGCTGGCTGCTGCTCTGGCTGCCATGGAAACAGACAGCGCTCAAAACGGGACAGATTCTTTTAAACTAATTGCTGTTCCACAAAAAGTCTGTGGTGAGATTTTTGTTTTTTCTGTTTTTGTTTTTCTGAAACAGAAATTAGTTTAAAGCAACATGTTCTGCTCTTGGGGAGCCAAAGTCCCTCTAGGACGCTGCGCATGAAATATAGAACCACAGTAACAATGGACACAAAAGATTCTCTGGATAGATCTATCACTTCTAAATAACAGGATTGAGATACTTTTTAAAAGTCAATATATATTATTGACAATATATATACCTATAACTGTAACTGTAGTTATTTGACATTGAGACTTTGACATATAAGACACAAGGAGTGAGTAAAGTCACAATAAAGCAGCACAAAATAGTGTATCGAGCGAAGTGAATGATATAGCTAAATACTCTAAACATAAAGTTTGGAATGTCTAGAATACTAAAGCCAGAGATTCAAATCCCAGGAAGGTCAAATCAGTCCTTTATCTTTCCTAGCTACATAAATGGAGCAACAAATAGTTAATTCTAATGTTTATCTTTTGACTACTACTAAAAAGAACAAGGTCCTGTTTGCTCTGCATGGACTTTAAAGATCCCATGGCACTTTCCTAAAGAGAAGGGAATTATGCCAAAATGCTGTATCATATGTTATTTGCGACCCTTCATCTCCAAGGAAAGTGCATTTCAGTAGTGTTGTACCATATTTATGTAGTTATAAAATACTCTGGAATTAAATATTAGGAATTTTCAGAGAATGTTTAATTGCTAGATATAAAACTGAAAATTCAAAATGTAAAAATTAGGATGTTTTGGAGAGTAGCTGTTCTTTTTGCTATTTATTATTCACTGTAGAGGCTTGTGAAGGATTATGGAATATGTTGTTTCTCACTCTGTATTACTCATCCTGTATGTTTCCAAAATCACAAATTTGATGATCACATTGTGTTCTTTTGGTTTCCATAGCATTCACAAATTTGATAACAACATTGTATTCTTTTGGTTTCCATTGCAGAAAAAGTGATTTCATTATAACGGAAGTGTTAAGCTGCCTGTGATCTGGGGGAAGCGCCTAGAGACGAACTGCACAGGATTTCACAGGCAAAACTGAAACGTAATAAAGGTTTTTGGTCTCACTTCCTGTCTATTACAAGAAGTAAATAAATAATATCTTAAATGATATTTAATATAATAAAAATCACTAATTCACAATGAGGTTTGAGCATTGGCCTGCTAAACCCAGGGCTGTGAGTTCTATCCTTGAGGGGGCCATTTAGGGATCTGGGGCAAAAATTAGGGATTGGTCCTGCTTCAAGCAGGGGGTTGGACTAGATGACCTCCTGAGGTCCCTTCTAACCCTAACCTTCTATGATTTCTAAGTAGAAAGTTGCCATCTTAGTCTGATGACAGTTTGTGACAAAGAAAGTTCAGCTCAGCACAAGAATACATTGACAATAGGTTAGAAATCTGAGACTTATGTGTGTTAAGGTAATTTAAATTATAAGAATCAAAGTTCTGTAAAGAGTTCTTTATTATTATTATTAAATTAATATATACGTTGCTTATCCATTTTATATACAGGTCCTTTTTTGGTAAATAATAGAACATACTTCAAAACCAGCTGGAAATGTCTAGAGCCTTTTAAGCATTCACATTCTGAGGAGTACTTCCTTTGTTCCTTTTAGTTTCATCAGCTGAAAAGTATAGTCAATAAGTGCAAACAGCTGGAATTTACACTGTTGAGTGCTCTGCAGAGCTTACAGAATCTCTGTGCATGATACAGTAGTTCCATAGAAACTCTTCAGGATTCTTGAAAGAAATTCTGAAAAACCCTGCAGGATCCCATAAACTCCTGGAAAGTGTACCACAGAGATTGCAGGCTTTTGTATGTCAGCCAACATCACTGTGTAAGTGTCTCCAGAGGAAGCGCTCCATTGCATGCATGTAGAAAATGAAAAGATACATTGGAAGGAAAACTAATTAAAGGCAATTTTTCTGACATTAAAAAAAAACAAAAACCTATTAGACAATATAACCCAGAAGGTCTATCATGTCATTCATCAGTAACTGAGGAACGGGACAATCTGTGTCATACATTATTGCTATGGAACATTTATTATTTGGAAACAAGTCTGGACATAAATTTATCTTCAAATTTAGGTTGTTAGAATCCTTGCTGCAAGGACTGTTCTAGATATAAAATCTAAACTTCCCACAATTTTTTCCAAATTTATATAATGAGAAAATAATCTTTCTCTGCTTTGTGTGGAGAGAGAGGAGAAGTTAATGTTTAAAAAACCCCAAAGGTTTTGTGAAATTCGGTACAGTCATATAAGCAAAAATTATGCTTTCTAAATTTCTAGGTATTTTTCTAACCATTTCATAAATAGTTGCTGAGACTTCCTTTTTTTAAAAAAACTCATTCACACGTCCTCATATAGCCTTAAGATCCAGAGAGGAAGGATGGCCTTGTGGTTAAGGTACTGGCCTGGAACTCATCAAACCTGGGTTCAACTTAGACTTACTCCCTGACACGTCACTGTGGCTTTAATCCCACCGAGACTCATGTAAATATGATTAACTTTATGCACAATAATCTTGATTTAGCAAAGCTCTTAAGCATGTGCTTACATTTAAAATCAGTGGGACTTAACCATGTGTTTGAAGTTACTTACATACTAAGAAGAACGAGGAGTACTTGTCGCACCTTAGAAACTAACAAATTTATTTGAGCATATGCTTTCGTGGGCTAAAGCCCACTTCATCAGATGCATGCAGTGGAAAATACAGTAGGAAGATATATATATATATATATATATACACACACACACACAGAGAACCTGAAAAAATGGGGGTTGCCATACCAACTCTAATGAGACTAATTGATTAAGATGGGCTATTACCAGTCGGAGAACATTTCAACCTCCCTGGACACTCAATTACAGACCTAAAAGTTGCAATTATTCAACAAAAAACCTTCAAAAACAGACTCCAATGAGAAACTGTAGAACTGGAATTAATTTGAAAACTGGACACCATTAAATTAGGCTTGAATAAAGACTGGGAGTGGATGAGTCATTACACTAACTAAAAAACTATTTCCCCACGCTAATTTTTCCCCACTGTTACTTACACCTTCTTGTCAACTGTTTGAAATGGGCAATCCTGATTATCATTACAAAAGTTTTTTTCTCTTGCTGATAATAGAGCACCTTAATCAATTAGTCTCGTTAGAGTTGGTCTGGCAACCCCCATTTTTTCATGTTCTCTGTGTATATATATATCTTCCTACTGTATTTTCCACTGCATACATCTGATGAAGTGGGATTTAGCCCACAAAAGCTTGTGCTCAAATAAATTTGTTAGCCTCCAAGGTCCCACAAGTACTCCTCGTTCTTTTTGCTGATACAGACTAACATGGCTACCACTCTGAAACCTGTTACATACTAAAGTGATTGCTGAATAAGAACAGTTTCCTGAATCACGTCCTGTGAGTAGTCCCACTGTCTTAAATGGGATTACTCACAGTGCATAGAATTAAGCACGTTCATAAATCTCGGCAGGACGGGGGCTCTGAACTCTCTGCTTTAAATGTGGATAATACTATTTTCCCTTTCTTATACCTCTTCTCTCTTGTCTATTTAGATCGTAATTCTTCAGGGCAAGAACTCTCTCTTATTTCTGAGTATGCATATTGGGTCCCTGATCTCAGCTGAGCCCTGTAGGTACTACTGTAGGTACATAAATATGCTATTCTACAACAGAAGACTCTAGGATCAAATTTGCAAAAGCACTTAAGTCATTTAGGAACTTAACTCCCATTGACTTATAATGGGACTTAAGCGTCTAAGTGACTTAGGCATGTCTGACATTTTTGAAAACATTGTTGAAGTACAATCATATGATTAGATATTACCATAAAATTACACTAACAGTTTAAAAAGATTTTTTGTTGGTTAATACAGTGAAGATTTCTAGCTAAATCTACATGTAGAATTTGGATCTCGAATTCTTTTCACTGAAAATGGACGGAAAGCAAAGTAGTCCTGCCTGAGGTTGTTTACAGGAAAGTAGGGTAGTTAGGATTTCCTCCCTCCGATCTGCAACAGGAAGTTATGAAATGTACCTTGTACAATTTCATCTTCTAAACTCCTAATGCCCTTTATTTCATACAGTAACTTGTTTTTAAATTAGTATGGGTTTCATTTTCATTGTAATTTTTAACACTCAGCAACAGAAACATTTTTTCTCTTATAAACGATAATTAATCAAAAAGGGAGAAGCTTATAATATTCTTGATTAGTGGGAAATTACCTTTACTGTGTAGGGATTTTAAAATTCAGCATACTTAAGCAAATCACATTAGGACCTTCAAACGGTTATCATCATCTAGAATTACAATAAGACACCTAACCAATACTGGATTGCCAGCAGAATTCTAATTTCTTCATTCTTGAGTTTTCCTGTGAGAATCGTCATGGCTCTCACCATTAGTGAATACCATCTGTAAAATCCTCCATCCAAAAGGATTTCAAGGTAAGGGATGGTGGACGTAGCCAAATCTTTATTTTAATAAGAAAGTAATCATTAACATTTCAAATAATCTTATTTTAGAAAATACTGTTCTACCAAATATAGTTCAAATAAATGATTTACAGTGTCACTTACATAAAAAATAATATAGAACTATATATCTGAACTGCATAAATTAGTATAGCCCTTAAAATGTTCTGGTGACACTATAAATTACAACAACAAAGCTGACCCTTTTTGTTTGTGTCACTAAAACATCAAGGCAGATTTGCAATGGAGTATACATGGCATCCTAAACCTGATTAATAAAACAGAAATTTCCCTCATTGTTCAGTAATGAATGTCAAAGCATGAAATAAATGTAATAAGTTATTATTTCTTTACTATACTTATTTACCCTTTAGAGTGCAATTCATTTTAAAATTCAAGCTGCCAAGTGGCAAAAATTTGTAGGGGGAAGGAAGGCAAATACACAAGGATGCTGAAAAAATACAGAAAAAGAAAGAAAAAGAGGTTGGGGGAACCTCAATTTTCAACCATATTAATATTAAATAATTTAATCCCCAAGACATACATAAATTTAGGCTATTGCAAGATTCAATACTTGTGGTTTGTCACCACTCTGATGGAATTACAACCTTGTAATGTACAGCTGGAGTACATTATTCTATATATTATGTGCAATTCTAGTGTAGTCGGTTTTAAAATATATAATAAAGAATGTTAATTACATGATTATTTATTAACCCACCCCACTCTTCTGTTTATTGGTTCTTTCACTACTTTCTCTCCTTCTTATCCTTCCCTTTATTTCCTCATGTTATAGATCTCTTTCTTCTCCATCTTTTCTGTTACAATACGTATTTTTTCTCTACCCTTCTTCAAGTTCCTGTGCCTTTCAGTGTAAGCTGCCTTTTTTATTACTGCATTGATATTGGCTGTCCTCTACAGTAGCCATTGAGCACTTCTTTCTATCTTGGTGTTCTTCCACATGTTAAAAAAAGTAGTCTGTCTTTAAAAGCAACAAATAACATAAAATATGTTTTCTCTTTGGCCATATCTAGAGCTGGTTGAAAAGTTTCTATCTTTTTGTTTAAGAAAAACTGGCAAGGATGTTCTGATCTGGTCTAGTAATAACTGCAATGCAATTTTCCCTTCTTAAAATTTACCAATATATTTTAGACCCTTATGCTTATATTATTTCAATTCAGAAGGCATAGTTTCCTGAGGGAACAAAATGTCAGTTCTATCTTACAGGAACCAAGGAAAGTGCTCTAGCTCAACTACAGGTCATCCAGAGAGCCCAGTGGTATGAAGAAGGCCAATGCAAGAAGGCACATAGAGGGAGAAGGAATTTTGTCTACAAAAAAGAGAGGGCTTTTTGGCTGCCTGGGTAGGGTAAATGTTGTTGGAGTCTTGATTGCAAAGGACTACAAGTTGTGCTGAGGATGCCAGGATCAGAAATTGAGGAGCTGTGCTCTAGGCAGTGGGGTTCTATCAGCCTCTTCCTCCTCCTTCCGTATGATCCAGTTATCTCCAAGTGCATCAGGTAACTGGGCACCAGCAGTCTCCTGGCAAAATTTCTGCTACAGCCCAATGAATGATACTAAGAAAACTACTCAAGATACATGAGGTGGCAATTATAATAGTTGTCAGTACTGAAAGATAACACTATGTGCCTCAGTAGATTGCTGGACTGTTACAAGCTAATTCATGTTAATGTTGCTTTGCCAATTAACTGCACAGTGTGCAGAATCATTTCAGAAACAATGCAAGCTTAGATTCACAATATGTAACGGAAAAACAAAACAACTATAAAACAGGAAAAAAAGCAAACTGTGTAAGTAGGCAGCAGAAAGGAGAAAGCAACAGCATCCTTTGCTAAAAATGAGGAAGAAACACATCGTTGTTTAAAAATCCTTAGCTCTATTCTCTTTAGTTAAAAGCAATTTGTGAAATCCTTTCAGGGCACATTTCAACATGTGCCATGGACTGAACAAATGCATTTGAGTATCACTCTGAAATGATCACTTTCTACTAAATTTCCTTTAGAACTTAATTACTGTTCAGCCATTAGCATTTAATTGAGAGCAACTTAATAAAATAAATAATAATGAACCTGGCCTTTTAAATGCTCTGAAAAGGGAGCAGAGTATTTGCATGCATGCAAAAAAAATTATGTAAAGAATTTTAGAGCAGGCACTTACAGACTGAATTTACTGTCGCATGTCTGCATTTTTTTGCCCCCCAAACAGCAGGTAACTGACCTTCCTTGAGACTTTTCTGGCTGTTCACCTCAAGACATTCCTTTTCTTTCAATGTCTCAATATCTCCAGTAGGTAAAATCTCTGGAAAGCCCTGTTGCTGCTTCTTGGAGCTATCGATCATGATGAGACTCCTTTGAATGGCAACATCCAACACAGGAAAAAGACCAATTTGCAACCCAGCAGTACACTGTTTGAATACTCTGCTCCCCGGTTCCTTTTCACAATAATTGAGCAATTATGTCTTTAAGCAGCTGAAAGCAGCCATTGCCCTTTACTTCCCAGTCTGACCTACAAATACACTCAATCTGTTTGAAGCCCTTAACTCTCTTCCAGACAGGGAAACTGAGCTTCTGAAGCAAAACTCACAAATCCCACCCCCTTTCCCAGACAACCACTCTCCTTTCCCTTTTAGCTATCCTGGCTTCCTCCGTACTTTTATGTTTCAGTATGCAGCTTGATCATCAGAATCATCTGACAAACACTGAGTCAAGCAGTTAAAAATAAATCCAGCAGTTGCTGAAGGAGCAGCCTTTGCTGATATCTAAGACAAATAGTTGCTGTGGTCTCTCTTTCTAAACGCTGCTGGAGGCTGTGGATATACTTTATGTTGGCCTGACAGGCAGATTCATTACTCATTAAGTTTAATCAATAAACAAACAGCTGTCTAAAAAGAAGATTATGTAAAGAATAAAGAAGGTCCTATTTTGCAGAAGCATATTTACTCAGCATAGCTGCAAATCTTAAGAACAAGTAAGGAACAATCTGAAAGCAACTGATTCCTGTAATACTGTTTACACTACAAAATGTACATATACTACCTTTGCTACACACAGATCTTACTCCCTGTAATAAATTTTTAAAACTGCAAATTTCTATTTTTTCCTTTTGCACTACACTCAGGAGGCAGTAACTTTTACTCTTGTTTCGAGCAGTCAGTCCAGAGTATTTCCTCCTACACAGTCTTTCTGATTTCCCATTCTCACCAGCATGAACCTTTCAATCTTTTATATTAGTCACCAACATACCTTTTCAGTGTCAACTAGGAGGTTGGAGTAGTTTTTCTTCAGGCCCCCTGGAATGCTTTGGCACCATTAGGACTTGATTTTTGTGGTAACGGCAAACTTATTCTGCTGCAAATATGAGTAAATCCTATGATATTTTTCAGTAATGATGTGTGTTCTCAGTTTACTGTTGGCTGCAAAATTCCACCGAACTGCAATCCTCTTGTGTGCATATGTTTTAATACAGTGTATATCCTTAAATGATGACCAGCTTAAGCAAAGTTATATTTTACAGCTGTGATTTTCAATACAAGGCTAAAGGACAAACATTTATTTAAAAAAAAAAATGGTCAAAATCACTTAAATTTTAAGTGGCTTAGTCATAAGACCTTGCAATATTTCCTAAACATACCTTTAATTCTATAAACAACTTTTGCCTGTCACATAACAAAAGAGTGTACAACTGAAAGTGTACATGTATGTTAATAAATCAGGTTAAGATTTTGTCACGGTTATTTTTAGTAAAAGTCATGGACAGGTCATGGGCAATAAATAAAAATTCACAGAAGCCCACGACCAGTCTGTAACTTTTACTAAAAATAACCGGTGGTAGGAAACAGGAGGGGGGGGGGGGCTAACTGCCTAGGGGGACCAAAGCCTGAGCCCCACAGGGAAGGGTGGGGGCTGACAACTCCAGCCCCTTCCACAGTGGCTGCAGTGGGGGCTATAGCCGAAGAAGTTACGGAGGTTCATTAAAATCACGGAATCCATGACCGCCGTGACCAAATGGTATCCTTATTCATAAACGAGAGTGTTTTGATCTATGTGCTAATGTGAGCACAAAATACTTTCCCTGTATCTTTGGTGACTCCATTCTGTGCATGAAAAATGAATATTCAAGTGCAATGCTCAAACAGGAATCTAAAATTCCCTTTACTAAGTGTACCAATCACGTAAATTGGTCTTATGTAAATATTTCTATATATCTGTAATGTACTTCTACCTTACCACATGTTCAAAAGAAATTTTTTTGATTATTAACCGCTCTGCCAAGAAAATTTTCCATTTATGTAATATAATTTTGGGCAACCTTTTCAAGTGGGTATCCCCCCTTTTCAGTGGACACAATTTGCAACTGCAATTAAACTATGAGTGAAAATATGAATATTGGCACCTCTAACTACCTGACTGCAGGCACAAGCTGTATATTTAAGTAGTCTGAATTGTGCCAACAATTCATTCTAGTGTAATTTACTGTATTTTAGTGTATTTTACAGGCACAATTCCCATCCTCATCAAGGGAGGCTAGCACTTCAGCTCTTTGAAAAACTACGTCTTTATGTATTTCTTTTCCCTCATTCTTTAATATTAAGGATGTCTGAAAGAAAATTTGGTCTTTTAAGGATTTATTAATTTCTGATGGGTCATACCTTACTGAAAGCCACAGTTCTCTGTTTGCAGCACCACAACCAACTTTTGAAATGATTTTGATGTAATGATTAGAGAATTAACATTATGTGCAAATAAGGAGGATGAGTTAACCAGTCTGTTTTCACAGGAAAATAAAATACAGAAAATATATAACATACCACATCTAATTTTAAATAGAATAGTATAGCTTGCAAAGTTTTTCAACAATATTTAAGAAGCTTTTAAACATTTTACTGTTTACTATATCTAGAAGTATTTAAAAATTATTTGGTATGCAACGCATCTTGAAGTATTGACAATTCTCTTTGGCTCTAACCGTGCAAGCACAAGTGTAACTTTTCTCACAACTAGGCGCATTGACTTCAAAGTTATGCAAACGTGTATTTTCAGAAACTGGCCTAATATGAACATTTTGAGTTTTAAAGTTACTATATATGCTACAGGAGAAAAGGTTATTTTTTCTTAATTTTGTTTTTCAAGTCTTCTTATGCTAAGCCAAAAGAATGGACATCATCCACTTTTCTTCTCCTCTCATCACAATATGAAAATGAGATAATTGGACCTCCTGAATACTAAGGTACAGGTAAGGCAAATATGCAATGTCTTCTTAATGCTAAAGGTGTGAAGCCTTTTCCATTCTCCTTACTAACTGCAGGATGCAAAGAGGGTAAGGAGATTTCCTAACTAAGGTGAAAATTTGAAAGGATCTTAGATTTAAAATGTGGAATAGTTTTAATGAGCAGTTTGTATTGGAGGTAAGTTAACTAAAGCTACATTACGTGCTGTAATTGTCCCCGCTCTCCTAGCTGATCAAATGGCCATCTTTTGCATCAAAGCATCTTTTCTAACACGCTCAGAGAATTGTATTCAGGCCCAGGTTCATCTTCCAGTGAGACAGAGGGTACCTCATTCTGAAGTGCTGTTAGCTACTCTAAAAAAACAAACAAAAACCCTCAATATGTGGGGTGAGATCTCACAGACCCTAACTTATGTCTAATGATGGAGCTCTTCAGTCTGAAATCACAAGAACTGTCCACAGTTGGGCAGCACAATGATTTCACTTTTCTTTCTTTAGAAAAGAGTTGAAGACTTCTCCACGTACTATAACGATTTTTTTAAATGGAAATTGAAAAGAATAGTAATCACCTTGCCTTTTCAGGAAAACCCATGCAGCAGCAATGCTGCAAGACACAGGGGAGTGCAGACTCCTGACCTAAAAGATCTTTTTGGAGAGTAAGCCAAAATAGGGAAGCTATTGACATGGCCAGGACTTCATGATGAGTGCGTCTGGCACAATTTGGATGACTAGCAAAGTCCTTTCCCTTCACTATCTTCTTCAGTATTCTTCCTTAATAGGTAGCAGATGGAAAATAAAGATCAGGTCAGAATTTCATACATAAGAGGATATAAATGTGTAGGGACTTCAGGATTCCTGAAAAACATTATTACCATGGCATTTGGACAGTTGGAAACCCTATCAACCAACCACCAGTCTGAAGAAGAATGGGCCATCTTGGTGACAGAATTAATTCTTTACATTTTTAAGGATCAGAAAATATAATTAGCCCATATAGCACAAGCACAGAAAAGAACATCACTAGCTATTTCAGAGACAAAAGGCATCAAAATTATGTGCATCATAGTAGTTTTCAAGCTGGTTCTACCCTCTAAAAATCTGATGTTTGCAAATTGCTTGCAATATATGATACATGTCAATTATCTTAAATAACATTTTGCTTAAATCCATAATATATAAGATCATATTAATTTGTGCTGTAATGCATCTGATTTCATACTGATTTTAACGGTGCAAAAAAAAAAAAGTACTATGCAAGAACTCCTTCATAAATCAACTCAATTTTCCCATTGCCTAAGTCCAAACACTTATTATGAGTGAGAAAAAGTATACTGCTGAGAAGCTGGGCACAGCCAAAGAAGGACTTCAAGGCAAATAGAATATAAACATTTCTCAAGGGACCTATATGAAAATTTGGCAAGGTCAATATATTCTTACACAATTACAGATACACCAGACTATTATTTTACAGATTCTTTGTTGCAATAAAATAGTAAGCAAATTATTAGTTAAACTGAGTTGATCACGGAGTAACAAAAGATACAAACAAAAAAGATTTAGGGGTAAACGATGTGTTTTGTATGTTAAAAAAGTGGGATTTTTTAAAATACTATTTTGATCCTGAAACAATTCCAAAATGATTCAGAGAACAGACTCAAATCAAATACAAACATGATTAACAAGACAGTCTACCATGAAAAATACTAGCAGGTGATCACTTGAACTTCATATGTCACAGAAAAGAAGACATTAGCACTAGGAACACAGGGAGGTGGGAGCAAATGATAAAGGAATCCTGAAGACTGCATGTAGATCTGTGAAAACTGGAATGAAGATGACAGAGGAGATAAAGTAGAATAGAGAGAGGAGGATACGAGGAAGGAACAAGATAAGAAGGCCTGTATTCCTGGGAAGACTGCAATCAGATGTTCCTCTCTACTGTTATCTTTATCTTACACTGAGTGCAAAGTTTGGAAATATGACAGTTTATACATCAATACTTTCATTTGCCTGTTGTAAAAGTTGTATCTTTTACCATATATTGCTAATTAAAGTGACAAATATTTTAATTGTTATATTCTCTTGAAGAACACTGTTCCAACACTGTGCACATATTTTTAACTGCATGTCACTGACAAGAATTTTTAAAGGCATTTTTGTGGGTGCCACAAAAATAATGCACAAACTACCTATATTCGCTATTGGCAGTTGTAATTAACTACTTCCAGAATTATGTACATTTCTGCAGACACCTTCACTGAAAATAATGCACAAACACAGATCTTAGAAGTACAGTGAGACTAATACCCTGCAAGCATTAAAAGACAGCTAAGACATAAAATAGTTTTCTAATATTATTTTTCCAATTTTAGCAAATGCTGTAGTTGCCACAGGGATGTTATATGACAATAAGTACATGGAAAGGTAGGAAGTCCATGAAAAAAACTTTTCTGTTATGATGCGGATAAAAGATTGATAATGCCGCATTAGATAATTTGGGCATTCTAATGCAAGGAACAGTTTGTCCAGCTATACAGAAAGGACAGAAGACACTTGATATGGATTTAATCAGGCCACAACTTTATTATTAGATGTCTGGGACTACTAGGCAGACAAAAGTGTACAGTGCAGGTAAACTCTGTTTATTCTGGAGGGGGCTTCCACCAGCTCCCCTCTCTTTTTCCAGCCAGGTCCCTCTAGCAAATCCATTGCTGGAACCTTGGCATCCATGCCACGCCATGCCCCTCCCCCCCGTAGGAGGGGTAAGGTGGGCTATAAGAAAGGGGGGGTTGGCTCCCTGCCGTTCCAACCATAGGATCCCCAAACCCCACGCCTTTCCGTTCCTTTAACCAGCACCTCCTTTTTAAGTCCTTTACCAGACCATTTATCTGGTCACTGGATGCCCTCCCTATGAAGTACCTGCACTGGACATCCGCCCCACACGCACCAAATAAGTTGCGACATATAGCCTACCACACCTTTGTGTTCACCATAATAGGTGTTCCCTAACACCTGCTGCGCAGGAGGCGAAAAAAACCCACTCCACCGAAGCCAATATGGTGGTGAGGGAAATAATTCTGTCCCAGCCCCCATAAGAAGGAGCAACTAGCACAATGCCCACAGCAGGTTCAAACCCACCTGATAATCACACCTCAAGGGGAGGGAGGTTGGGTGTTGCCTTGCCTGCTGCATGGAGAAAGGGGTTTCCAATACCAGAGCTTGCACCTTTAAAGCCTTCCACCGTTACATTCCAAGGGGGTGAGTCAGTGCTGCAAAGCTGACCAACACCTCCTTTTTGCAGCAGTTTTTTACCTTGTTCTCCTCCACTTCCCCTCTTCCCCCCCCATAAAGCACTACCGTCTTCCTCCAGCAAGTCTGGACAACAGTCCGCCTGCTTTCAGTGTAGGGCAATCATTCTTCTTGAATTCCTACTATGAGCTGAAGGTCATACCGCATGTCATGAAAGATAATCTTCCCAAGATCTCCAATAAAGTCTTTGTTAACCTATAACCTTGAACATGAGGTAACACTTACCTAACTGAAGGCAGGCTCAGTATTTTGATTAACTGAGCGACCTACCAAGAAAACAGAAGTTTACCATTTTTGGTGATAATATTCCAACAAGTAAGCCTTTCCTGGATGGTACTTCAGGAATAAAATCAACAAAAATAACAGCTTTGAGTAACTTAGATGTCTACAAGGAAAATCAAGTATTTTGAGGGAAGTCATGGGTGTTTGGGTGAATGTCCCACTACCACCCTAGTAAAATAAAACAATAGCTAAGCACTGTAGTGTATGAAATATACACATTTCTGAAAGCTATTATTACCATGTGTAATTCAGATAACTTAAGCAAAATTAATTAATTAGGAGGTTATTAAACAGATTCCCAAGGATTCAGAGGCAAGAACTTCACAAATAAGAATAATTAAAACACTGCCAGTTAAGATAACATACTCAAATGTTAAAATTCATCTGCTAAATCAACACAACTCAACTAGATGGAAAGTTGTTTTTGAATCATTAAACAGGAAAACAGATCATGCTACTAATTTTAAAAGCTGCATTTGGAACTGTTACACTGCATGTGCTGCTGTATTAAGTAAAACAGGGGGGAAGAGAGAAGGAATTAATCTTATTAAGGCTCACAAGCTATTCTGTTTCAATATTTTTCCTTAAATGTCCACAAATGGTTTCAGGAAGTGTCAGTTAGGGATGTCAAATGTTAGCACAATGTTGCAAAGTTCTTCTAATTATTTCAGGTACTAGACCTTAGGCTGTTTGCCAGTTTTGCTGACAATAGTAACATTTTAACATTTACTGTACTTCTCCTTCCCCATAAACCATCACGTTTTACTCAGTTATACACACAGTCTGTTGTAACAACAGATGTCACAGCACATACATTTTTTAAAAGGTTTGTCAATCTTTAATACTTATCAGATGACAATTCTGTCTTCAAAGAGTTCTGGTAAAGTGATGTGCATAAAACATTCACAAAAGAGGAATATTTTCAAATTGAGCATGAATGCAAAAGCTAAATGAAATAGCAGTTAACACTCATTCCAATAGCATCAGTGCTGCATATTGTTTTGGAATGATTTCCTTTAAATCTCTGAGTTTTCAAATTCTTCATTTCCCAGATACACCCATGCTAGATGGATACAATTTGAAGATCAGGCATGTCCTAAAATTTTTTTTACACTCTCCATTATAATCTATAAATCAGTATTTCAAAGAAATTATTATCTATATTGTCATTAGCAGCGTGTGCACACACATGCACATACAGAAACCCCAAACACAATAAGAAGCTACCATTAAATAAAAAAGGCTTTGTTATTCAATACATGCTTCTGAACAACATTCAATGCAGCTATATCATGACATTTTCTTAGGCACCTTCAAAGTTTGTAACACTTCTTAACATGCAAAAAGACTAAAGAAGATTTCCACCACGACTTAAAAATGCCATCTTGGCATTTTATGATTTCCATTATACTTGA